CCTACTCCATTGACTGTATAATTTTAAATCTTTCCATTCAACTTGGATATTTGTTTTCTGGGTAATTACCCTTGAAACCTCCAAGCTGAATTACCCACCTCTTCAGAACTAATCAGAGTGGGCTTTATTGAATGAATGAATGAATGAATGAATGAATAAAAGGATTGCTAAATAGATATAAGAACACAGTTAAAATTTAGCAACAGTTTTTTAGAGATCTGCACCAGGTCTACACAGTTCTGTGTCTTTTTGTAATGATGAAAATATTATAACTAGTTTTTCTCCTATGAAGGGTCAAAAGTGTACAAAAGATGTATATGTTTCAAACCTCCATTCTAACATTGATCCTTCCTCTAGTGACTGCCTATCTATAGCAAGGTACTAAGCAACAACAGGTCAAACATACCTGATGTCCTGGGAATAGAACAGAAGGACCTCTGGTCTTTAAGCCTTGATGGGTATAAATCATGGGTTGAGATGCCATTAATGAACTAGTTCTCATTGGAGTTGGAATCTAAATTTGAATGGAAAAGAAAACAATAAGTGAAAACATAATTAGTATTTAACTGCTCTCCTAATAAAATAGTACCAAGAGGACAAGTAATCCCTCCAAATACTACATTTGATGAATGGTAAATGAAAAATATGAAGAAAACAGGAAAAAACAGACCTGAGAAGAACTTATTAGTGATGTGTGTGTGCATGCGCGCACGTACGCACACATGCTCACGTTGAAAAGAGACCCAAAGAATAGTTCTTGAAAAATGAGGATGAATTAACTACAAAGGCCTTCAAAGGACTCTTCACAAGAAATAACACTGACATCACAAAGCCAATAGTCCTCATGAGAAAGAGAAGGGAAGTCTATAGGTGGACAGGGAATATGTTAAATATATAGTACAAGTGTGTAATTTGATGAACATTTAAAGATTAAATGTGAGCGGGAACCAACAGCTAGTGTAATGGCTATGTCGCTGGACTCCCACTTAGTCGACTGCGGTTCGCATCCCGGACCCAGTGGCCTAAAACTCATGCCGGGTGTGTGTGCGTGCGTGCCCAAGATCCCGAGAGGAGAATGGAGGAGAAGGGATTGCGGTGTGACCATCCCCCCTAGGGGGTGATTTCTCGCTTTCTGTCTCTATGTCTCTCTCTGTCTGCCTGGCAAGCACACACGCCCTATAGCGAAAACCTCTCCAAAAAAAAAAAAAAGATTAAATGTGAGCAATATGTAGGAATTCAACAGATGAAAGTATTGAGAGAAGGACAGGTGCATCAGGTCAAAGGGGTGGGTGGTATGAGAAAGGGATTTAGGGCTGATACTGCTCATAAATTTTTGCTTTGACATCTGTCTAGTTTATATCATTGTTGCAGTCACCTGATGAGCTCAGAATTGAACATATATCCCAAAGACAAAAAAAGAAAGAAAGTAAGGAGGTTGCCCAGATCCACTGGTGTTAGTAGATTCTGACCATTTCCCTCCTCTGCTTAAAACTGTTAAAATGGATCTTCACTGGGTGTAGATAGGTGTAAACCACCTGGCATGATTCACCAAGCCTATTGCTTCTCTTTATCTACTACATTTTCCCCTCACAACTTGAAGCAATATGGGCTTACTGAAGGACAGTCAAATAAATTAGAAACTGCTTAAATGACTCATAAATAAAAGTTAATGATTAATGTGTTGACCTGCTGGGAGATTTCTGGTGATGAGCTGTATTAACATTAATGCTTCTTAGCTCCATGCCAGCAATTTAGAGCAGGTCTCAGCTATTTTGAGTGTACAAGGCTGCCACCTCTGTAGAACCAAAGAGCCAGAGTGAGCAAGGTACCAAGACCTCTTTGCCTTACAAAGAATTGATGCCTAGAAATCCTTGAAATTGCTTTTGCCCAAGGGTTAAGACCTTGATTCACTTCCATGATGCTATCAGATAATATATCCTGGAATAACTCCATGTGGTGACTAGAAATGAGCACCTAGTCCTTTTAAGGAACCTAGTTATGTATGTCTCCTTCAATCCACCTGGGTCCTTAGTTATTCATGTTGAGGACATACTTTATATCTTGTTCCTGTTGACTCCATTCTCTAGGAAATGAGCCTATTTGGTTCACCCTTACTTGAAAAGACTCTGAAATAACCTGGCTTTTCATGTGGCCCATCACAGTTTTCACAATACAAGCCATACTTCCTTGCCTCAAGCCCTATTATAGTAAAAGGTACTCTTTGGTCCTGATTCCTAACCTAAAAATCTACATTACTTTTGGGACTTTGATTATCTATTAATTCTGGAATAAATTCCTATGGCAATTCCCCTTCTGCACATCCCTTATCTGGATTATTGGCACATGCTACCACAACTGGTCTTTAGGTTGGACTGGGAATCAAACTTGGGCCTCCCATGTGGTCTCAGCATATGGAGCACAGTATCTTAGCAGTGTACACCATCTCAGATGAACCAATAAACCATGAAGAGTTTTTCACTGCATCTCTCACTCTTGACATCCTAAGAGAGTTTTTTCTTACCATTCTGTACATAGGCATTTGCTGTGAAGTCACTGGATAGGCCACTGGAGATGATACCTTGAAGGAAAGTATCAGTTATCATAAGTACATTTTCTACTAATGTGTAATAAGAAATATTATAAGATACATAAAATATTCTGCTATATAATTAACTGCCAATTCTAAATTAATTATATAATTGAGAATAAATTCATAGTGAACCTTTTATGACCAGGACAAAGATCTTTCCCTGAGCATGGCAGATTTAGGAGGCTTAAACACTTCCAAGTGGGCTGGCCTTGCAGTGCAGCATTTGGGTGCTGGACAGAGGAAACTGGATCCCACATAGCTGACCAGGATTTGGATCTCAGCCCCATCAGTTTCATGCTGGAGCACACATGCCCAGGATCCTGATAGGATGGAGAACTGGGAATAAAAGGATTGCAGTGCGACCAGAAAGCAGGTAGGCTTTATCCCAAGGATGCAACTGTGGTTAAACACACAAAAAGCAATAAACGTAATACATTACATTAATAGAAGGAAAGATAAAAACCATACGATCATATCAATAGATGCAGAAAAAGCATTCAACAAAATACTATGTCCATTCATGTCCAAAACTCAGCAAAATAGGCGTAGAAGAGACACTTTTCAACATAATAAAAGCCACATATGACAGATTCACCACTAATGTCATATAAAGGGGAAAACCTGAAAGCTTTCCCACTTTATCCACTCCTTTTCAACATAGTGCTAGAAGTCCTAACCAATGCAGTCAGAGAAGGGAGCAAAATAGAGGTTTCAGATAAGAAAAGGAGAGGCTAAACTGTCCCTATTCCCAGGTGATATGGTTATATACATAAAAAAATCCAAAACAACCCACAAAAACTCCTATAAGTGAAAAATGAATTCAGTTAAAGTAGTAGAATACAAAATCAATATACAAAAATCTATAGCGCTCTTATATATCAATAGTGAACAAACTGAGACAGAATTGTGGAAAGCAATCCCATTTATAATAGTCACAGAAAGAGCAAAATATTTCAGAATAAGCTTAAAAAGCAAAACTATGTGTAAAACTGGGAAATGATTGATTACAATACAAAGAAATTGAAAGCTATCCTGTGTTTTTGGATTGGAAAAATTGATATAATCAAAATGTCAGTCCTACTCAAATTAATTTACATATTCAATGTGATTCTGATCAAAGTACTGGAGACATTCTTCACAGAAATAGAAAGCACATGGGGCCAGCAGGTGGCCTGGTGGTTAAGGGTGCTGGACTCCCACATGGCCAACCACAGTTTGAGTCTTGGACCTGGTGTCTTGCTTTCTCACTTTCCCTCTTCCCCTCTCTCCCCCTTTATCTTTCTCACTCTTGCTTTGTCCCTCTCTGGTCAAAACAAAAAATAAATAAAGTGAAATAAAATAATTCTTGAAAAAAGATAAAGAAATAGAAAACACAATCATAAAATTTGTTTGGAACTAGTTTGGCAGGTGGCATGGTGGTTAAGGCACTGGACTCCCACATGGATGACCACAGTTTCCCACATGGATGACCACAGTTTGAATCCCAGACCTGATGGTTTGCTTTCTTGCTTTCCCTTTCCCTCTCTTTCTGTCTCTTTCTGGTCAAATTCAAAAATTATAATAATAACAAAAAATTACATAAATGAATAATTTTTAAAGATTTGTCTGGAACCACAAAAGACCCCATATTGCCAAGGCAATACTGCACAAAAAGAATAAAAACATCTTACTACCTGACTTCAAAATATATTACGAAGCAGCACATGGCATGTTTTCCAAGTCACTGGGTCCAGGACTCAAAACATATAATTAGCCATGTGGTATCCAGCTGCCTTAACCACCACACCATCCACTAGCCCAGTTAGTTTCTATTAATTAAATAAAATAATATCAAGTGTTGGTGACATTAACAATAATCTTGTACTGCTGCTGTAGGTGTATATGTTATTATAGCCATTTTGGAAAAGAGTTTAAAATTACCTAGTAAAGTTAAGCTCATTCTCAGTGAGTGCGTGTGTGTGTGTGTGTGTGTGTGTGTGTGTATAACAGAATACTATTCAGCCATAGTTTTTTTGTTGTTGTTTTTTGTTTTTTAAATGAAGTCCTGGGGAGGTTCCTCAAAGACCTTCAAATAGAACTACCATATGATCCAGCAATTCCACTCGGGTATCTACCCAAAGGACAGGAGAATGCTCAGTCAGAAAAGCACTTGCACAATTATGGTGGTAATAAATAAATTTTAAAAAGAAATAAAATAAAATAAAACCAGCATGGTATTGGCACAAAAACAGACAGGTAGACCAATGGAACAGAATAGAGAACCCAAAAATAAACCCCAAAACATACAGCCAACAGATTTTCAACAAAGAGCACAAGACCATCTAGTGGAGAAAAGAACATCTCTTCAGCAAATAGTGCTAGAAAAACTGAATATCCACCTGCAGAAAAGTAAAACTGGACCCCTATCTTTCACCGTTAACAAAAATCAACTCAAAATGGATCAAAGATCTAAACAGAAAACCTCAAACTATAAAATTACTGGTGGATAACATGGGAAAACTCTTGGAGACATTGGTGTAGACAAAGATTTTTTAAATAAGACCTCCAAAGCACAGACAATAAACCTCCCAATAGACAAGTGGGACTACACCAAGCTAAAAAAATTCTGTATGGCAAAAGAAACAATAATTAGAGTGAATCAACAACCCTCAAAATGAGAGGATTTATTTGCAAACTATGCCTCAGCTAGAGGATTGATAACCAGAATATACAAGGAATTCAAGCATCTTACCCGAAAAAAAAAAATAGTCCAATAAAAGACAAGCAAATGAGCTGGACAACACTCCAAGGAAGACATACCAAGGGCCAACATTTCTTACCATAAGGGAAATGCAAATCAAAACCACAATGAGATACCACTTAACCCCAGTCAGAATGGCTAAGATTAAAAAAAAGAAAGAAAGAATGATTAGTGCTGGTGAGGGAACACTCCTAAACTGTGGGTGGAAATGTAAATTAGCACAGCCATTGTGGAGCACAATATGGAGGTTCATGAAAAACCTACAAATAGAACTACCATATGACCCAGCAATTGTGCTTCTGGGTATCTACCCACGGGATAGGAAGACATCCGTGTTTATTGCAGCATTATTCACAATTTCTAAGACATGCAATCAACCCAAATGTCCAAGAACAGATGAATGGATTGAAAAGATATGTCGCATATATAATATGGAATACCATTCAGCCATAAAAAAAAATGAGAACTTGACATGTGATACAAAATGGACAAGTATCGAAGATTTAATGCCAAGAAAAGCAAGCCAGACTATGAAAAAGAAGTATTATATGTCCCTGCTCAATATATATCAAATGTCTGCACTCTGGCAGAAACTGAGGGATTGGAAGGTATAATAGCAGGGAGAGCAATTGTAGATATTAGAGACAGTATAGGAAGGGGTAGGTAATGGGAGGTGTGAGAAAGATGATCAGGGAAAGAAAGAAATAAAACCTTTAACAGACATAAAAATGAAAAGTTATCTCTTGGTGACAGTCTGTTGTAATCTTTGACTTGACTGGTATGTACTGTATTCATGCTGGGAAAAAAACATTTTGTATGTTGTAAAGATGTATTGTGATTAAATGCAACAACAAAAAAGAAGGTCCTACAAATTCTGGCCCCTGTTACCCTCTCTATCTTTATCTCTTGTTGCCTCCATCATACATTATGCTGCAGCTGTGTTAATCTAGTTACATTTCCCTGAAAAACCTGCAAAGTTTCCTGACTTTGTTCACACAACGTCTGCTTGGAACACCTTTGCTCCATTTATCAACTGGTGACTGTCAATTCATTTTGTCTTTTACCTCGAGTTTAGATCCTTTATGATATTAACCAATATACACTCTAAAGCATTCCACCTTATAGTATTATTATTAAAATATTATATATTATAATATTCATTGCTTTTAATGGCATGTCTATCCTTGCTTACAGCTCCTTGAGAGCAGAGCTTACTTCCTATTCAATTCTGGGTCTTTACCACTCAGCATAGTGACTAGTACCTAATAGGTTCTCAATAAATGTGGAGAAAAATAGTGTAAGTATAGATTCTGTGATGGACAGAGGACTGTAATCTTTATAAAGGTCCTAAATTTAAATTTTTCATATTTTACTTCATAGTAAGTTTAACATGTTTACAGCAAATATTAGTGCAATACTTTAAAATTGATTAAATAGAAAACATTTCTGACTCTACCTACTACCTTAATATAAAAAACTAGATAAATAATACAGCACTAATATTACCCTATGGGGAGCAGAAGGAGTAGAAATGGATTTCCATATGGTTGATGTGCAGGTATAGGTATTCAACTGCCAGTTCTTTCCATCACTACTTCCCATGTCTGAAGAGTCACACCACTTCATGTTAGATCTAATGAAAAAAGAATAGTCTCTTCAATTAAAAGTGTTGTGAAAACTGAATATCCACATGTAGAAAAATTGGAATTCAACCCCTATTTCATAACAGATACAAAAATCAACTCAAAATGGAGCAAAGATTTAAATATAAGACCTGAAACTGTATAACTTCTAGAAGAAAACAAAAAGAAAAAGCTATGGGAACCAGTAGTTAGCATAATGGCTATGTCGCTGGACTCCCACGTAGTCGACCGTGGTTCGCGTCCCGGACCCGGTGGCTTAAAAACTCATGCTGGGCATGTGTGCGTGCGTGCCCAAGATTCCGAGGGGAGAATGGAAGGAAGAAAGAAAGAAAGAAAGAAAGAAAGAAAGAAAGAAAGAAAGAAAGAAAGAAAGAAAGAAAGAAAGAAAGAAGAAAGAAAGAAAGAAAAGGAAAAGAAAAGAGAAGAAAAGAAAAGAAAAGAAAAAAAAGGAAAGAAGAAAGAAAGAAAGAAAGAAAGAGCTATGACATTGGTCTGGGCAATGATTTTTTTGGATTTAGTCCAAAGGCTCAGGCAACAAAAGCAAAAATAGATGAATGGGATTACATGAAACTAAAAAGTTTCCACATAGCATAGGAGACCATTAAGAGAATAAAGGGAAGACGTATGGATTGAGATAAAATATTTGCAAGCCATACATCTGAAAAGGGGTTAATATGTAAAATTTATTTTAAAAACTAAAACAACTCCATAACAAAAACAAAATAAAACAAATAACCTGATTTTTAAATGTTCAAAAAAAGCAATCCTCAGTAGACCAGCCTGTGGCTTGGTGATTAAGGTGGCTGCACAGTTTGAGTCCCAAATCTGGCAATTTAAAAAACACACCAGGTGAGACCAGCAGATGGCATAATGGTTACGTAGCTGGACTCCCACATAGTCGACCCTGGTTCAAGTCCCGGATCTACCAGCTTAAAACTCACACTGGGCACATGTGTATGCATGCCAAAAATCCTGAAAGAAAACAGGCCTTCAGAAGAAGGTTCCACATGGCTCTGCACGGTTTCCTATTTTCTGATTTTTTTTTTAAAAGAAAAACAGTAATTACAATTTTGGGGTTTTTTTTTTTGGTCCTTTTTTTCTTCTCTTTTGGTTGTTTCCATCTCTCTGTCTCTCCAACAAGTGCATGCACCCTATAGCAAAAGTATCTCTCTCTCTAAAACACACACACACACACACACACACACACACACAAGGAAGATGTGCATGCATGCCCAAAATCCCAACAGAGGGAAGAGATGGAGAAGAAGGGCCATGGGGGGAGGGTGCTTTTTCACCTTCTTTCTCTTTTGGTCTCTCTCTGGCAAGCACACACATTCTCTGACAAAATTAAAATAAAAAAGCAATCATGTGCAAAATGAACAAAGGTGGAGGCATTGCACTGACTTTAAAATATACTACAAAGCTATAGTAACCAAACTGCATAGTTCTGGAGCGATAACAGACACACAGACCAATAGAACAGAATAGAGAACCTGGAAGTACATCCATTGATATGCAGTCAGTTGATTTCTGACATTGGTTTAGGCAACAACTTTTAAATAAGATCTCAAAAGCATGGGCAACAAAAGCAAAATTAGATCAATGTGATTAAATAAAAATAAAAAATTCTACATAGCAAATGAAATAATCAACACAGTGAAGATACAACCCACAAAATGAGAGAAAATATTTGCAAGTTATACATCCAATTAGGGATAACTAGAATTTACAGGGAACTGAAACAGCTCACTAGCAAAAAGAAACAATTTGGTTAAAAAGTGGGTAATCTGGGGCTGACAGGTGGCATGGTGGTTAAGATGCTGGACTTCCACATACTGGACTCTCCATTCTCTTCTCTTACTTTCTGTCTCTATCTCTGGTCAATTTTTAAAAATAATAATAATAAATAAAATTTTAAAAATAATTTTAAAAAGAAGTGGGCAATCAGGCACAGCTGCAGTGTGGCACAGGTGGTAAAGAGCCACTACACAATACTGAAACCATATTAGAAAACCCAGGAATTGGATCCCAGGTTGATGTAAATAAATCAGGTGCACCAATGATCCTGACTGACTAGAAGACTAAAGTGAAGATCACAGACTGGCAAAACCCTGCCAGTAATCTGTCTGTATCTCTCTCTCTCTCAATACATAAACTTAAAAAAAAATGGGCAACCAATCTGAACAGACAATTCTCAAAATAAAATAAACAAATAGCCAACAAGTAAACAGAAAATTACCCAACATCACTAATTATCAGAGAAATGCAAATTGAAACCACAATGAAGTATCATCTCATCCCAGTTAGAATAGCATATGTGTGTGTGTGTGCATATATATATTTATCTCAGAATAAGAATTGATAGTGAGATTGTGAAGAAAGGGGAACTCTTGTGCGCTATTGGTGGGAATGTAATTAGTACAGCCATTATAGAAAACTGTACAGAAGTTCCTCAGCAGACTAAGAATAGGATTACCATCTGATCCAACAATTGTACGTCTAGATATATTTCCAAAGAACTTGAAATCAGTATATTGAAGAGATATCTGTAACCCCATATTTACTGAAGCAGTGTTCACAATAGCCAAGATATGGAATCAATTTAAGTGTCCATTAACAGAAAGACAACTACCCCATGATCTCATTTACATGTGGAATCTAAAAAATCTCAGACTCGGAAGTAAAAAGTTGAATGGTGGTTATCAGGGGCTGGGGCAGACAAAAATTATATGTCCCTGATTAACGGCATGTCTGCACTCTATGGTAGAAAATGAAAGACTCAATGCCATAAAAGTACAGAGAACAAGGCCAGCAGGTGGTGTGGTGGTTAAGGCACTGGATCCCACAGGGTCAATTCTGCAGTTCAAGTCCCAGACTTGGTGGTTTTAAAAAGCACACTAGGCGGAACTAGGTATTTCAGGGCACAGGAGAACTGAAGATTTTCTACTGATAATTCAGCCTCCAGCAAACAACCTAGTGGCAGAAGAGGCCAGGCCTTCAGAAGAAGGTTCCACATGGCTCCCGCAAACTAGGTATTTCAGGGCACAGGAGAAATGAAGATTTTCTACTGATAATTCAGGCTCCAGCAAACGAGCTAGTGGTAGAGAGCCCCCCCCACCCCCAGCCTTCTATCTCTGTTTCTGTGTCTCTGTTTCTGTCTCTCCCTGCTTCTGTCTTCTCTCTTTTTTTTTTTTTGTAATTTTTCCTTTTTACATTTTTTTAAAGGCAAAGTTTTTCTCTTGCTCTCAGCTCCACCTTTTATCTTGTTAATTATCACTCTGGTCCTCCCACCCAGGCAGAAGAGGCCAGGCCTTCAGAAGAAGGTTCCACATGGCTCTGCACGGTTTCCTATTTTCTGATTTTTTTTTTAAAAGAAAAACAGTAATTACAATTTTGGGGTTTTTTTTTTTGGTCCTTTTTTTCTTCTCTTTTGGTTGTTTTTCTCTCTCTCTTTTTCATTTTCCTTTTTCTTGTCTCTCGACTCTCCAATATCCATTTAATGTGTTTTTAGATGGATCTAAGAGCACTGTAGCTAAACATCCAAATACTAATAGGGTTAAAATATTCCTCAATATCTAC